CCCCAAAACCCCAAAACCCCAAAACCCCATGAGCATGATATAATAGGATAAACTGATGAAATAAAAATAACCATTCACTTTTATATAATGAAGTGTTTTGATTCCTAAAAAAAACTAAGATAAATGTCTGTATTTATTCATTCTTTAATCGAGGCTCCCATTGCATGTTCTTTTCTAACTTTCCATCTATATGTTCCATCTGGCTAAGCATTGCCCTAAAATTATTAGATTAAAATATTTGCAATACTTACTTGCACTACTTATTAGAGAAGCATTCTTCTGGTTTCTTCGAATTAAAATAGTAGCTCATTAACTTTAGCTGGATCAGTTTCTTCCCTCTGATCTAATATTGACCTTCTTATTTAGATTCGGCACTAGTGAAACATTTCTGGGTCTCCTTTAAATACAACCATCATCGATTTAAGCATTCTGCGGTACATTCCCAAAGTTTTTGCATAAGGAGCTTAAATACTCATTTTATTGTAATTATTAAATTAACTAATAATTGATAGAATTATATAAATTCAAATATCACTACTTCAATAAAATGAGTTTAATTCTAGTCTTTTGGCACATTAATTGCATCTTACTTGCCTTCAGTATTTCTATTAAGTTCTTTATTGATCAACCTTTTTAGTAGATAATTTAATCATAATATCGCTTATCTTTTAGCCATATGCGGAATATTTGGCTTCTAATTCCTCATTTTCTTACTCAGCATCTACTATCTATTCTAAAAATTAATTATGAGTATTTGTCAATAATTCATTGGATAGATGAGATGATACTTACAATCCAGATTTTTTATAGCATTTTCAATGTCAAAGATATACTTTTCAAGTTCATTTCTGGCTATCAAATCTTGTTGAGCATCATTTTCATTCAAATCTGGTCTTATTCTATTTTGCAGCATATTTTGATTATCTATTTCAATGTAGTTGCCTATTATATTAGGGTTTTAATGCAGCTGTTTTATACCTTAGAGTTGTACTTAGTGCTAGTATGGATTTTATGATAACTGATTATAAGACTGCTAATTTTATTGCTGATTAAATATGAGATTATTCGACATTTTTAAAGTGTGCTAATTGATCTCTGATAATACTACTTTGTTTTAAAAATTGTAAATAATATTTTTTAATAATTTAAATTATATTATTTAAGAAAGAGAGTTAATTGTTTCAATATTCATACTTATATTTAAAAGAGAGTAATGGATAAGCAAAAGCATCTAACTAATCACTCCAGTCAGGATTCCTCAGCCCGCATAATTAAACCTTAAGACGATTATAATTTCGTTCTTAAAGGAGCTAAGATGGACATTATTTAGCCAACGAAGGAGGACTTATAGGAGTATGAGCAATTTAAAAGTAATCAATTGTCTGTAATTAACTTTATTATAGAAAAAATGAATTAAGAATAGAACCAAATGTTGACTCAGAAAGTTAATAGTAATATCAGTCCAGATAACCTATAGATTAATATTTTGTCTGATAATGATGACTCTTCCTCAAATTCATCATTAGAAAATCTAGGGGCTGATCTGAACGAGGATTTAAATGTAGTAGAAGAGTCGTTCGAGGAAGAGTCAGCTTTAGTGAATCAGATTAATCAGTCAAATTATGGATGTGAAAAAGTAGGAGTCGAAGGTGATGAACCTCATAACATCTCCAATAACTTAATCAATCTACCCAGTCGATATGAAAAGGATATCAAGAAAAATATACAAATAGACGAAATTTTTATTAATAATGGCAACAAGGACATGGACTTAAGTACTAAAATAGCTCCTGAAAGCGATAGGCAGATTGATGAAAAGAAAGCTAAAAAGAAGATCAAAGTTGTTAGGCCTAAAATTTAAAAAGATGAAGTAGAGCTTGGCGAGAGTAAAAAAAAGAAGAAAAAAAGCAAGTAAAAAAGATTAACCATGAATGTCTCACAGACAAAGTACTATGTCGTCCGTTATGTAGCTAAAAATATATACAACATGAGATTAACTCATAATGACGAAGAAGATTGGGATATATGCTGGTAGGACGGAGCTGTTCAGTGTGAAAGACTTTATAAGATGAAACCGTATTAGAGAATAAATCATTTCGCAGGAATGTATGCTCTAGCTAGGAAAAATCACTTGGCCAGAAATCTTGGAAGAATGCAGAAGAAGTTTCCAGATGACTATAAATTTTTTCCCTAGACATTCCTTTTACCCTCTGAGTATTCTGATTTCAGAAACTTATTCTAGAATAAAAAAAAGATGAACAAAACTTTTATTGTCAAACCAGAAGCCTCATGTTAAGGTCGAGGTATTTTCTTGACTAGAAATCTTGATGATGTAAACCCTTACGATCACTATGTTATTTAAAGGTATCTTCACAAGCCATTCTTAATAGAAGGACTCAAATTTGATCTTAGGATCTATGTATTCCTTTGTGGTGTAGATCCACTGAGGATATTAATGTATAAAGAGGGTCTCTCAAGATTTGCAACTGAAACTTATCAACCTCCCAACAATAACAACCTTGATAATCTTTACATGCATCTGACTAATTATGCAATTAATAAAACTAGCAGCAAATTCATTTAAAATAAGAATGAAGATGCAGATGATGTAGGACACAAGAGAAGTTTAACTTATGTCTGGAGATATTTGGAAGAACTAGGTCATGATGTAGAGTAGGTTTAAAAAGATGTAAGGCAGACAATAATAAAGACTATATGCGCCGTTCAACCTCAACTAGCACATATTTATAAATCTTGCCAACCTGATGATGTTGAAAATTCGATGTGCTATGAAATACTTGGGTTTGATATTTTTTTCGACGCAAATTTAAAACCATGGATTCTAGAGGTTAACCACTCACCATCATTCAGTACTGATTCTCCTTTAGATTTCAAAATAAAGAAAAATCTGATTTCTGATACCATAAGATTATTGAATCTTTCATGGGCTAAAAAGCAATAGTATAAAAAGCAGAAATAATTAGAGTTCTAAAAAAGAGCATTGAAAGGAAAGCCTAGAATAACTCATGAAGAACGTGAAACAATAAAATAAAAAAGAATTAAGAAAAGAGATAATTTTGAGAAAAAGAACTTAGGTGATTATGAATTGATATTTCCATCTGAAGAGAACAACCTAGATGATTATTAAAAGTATCTAACTTTTGCAAAGATTTCATGGGAGGATTTTAACTAGGGCACATTTAAAAAGTAAAAACAAAATGAAAGCTAAATATAACTTTCTTAGCAACAGCTATCTGGTACTAATCTCAGTGAAAATAATAAAAGTAGTGTTTTGAGTACTAAAGATGATAAGAAAAAGGTTCCAGGGTTTATATCAGAAGTAGGTAGTTTGATTGAAAAAGGTAGTGTTTTACATTCAGCTTAGAAAAATATGCAAAAACCTTAATCAGCCAGAAGAGAGAATAAATAGGATAGTCTGCATCGAAAAGATTCCTTGAAGGATTTGACTTAGACAATAAATCATAAGGATTAATTTTCAGATCCAAATCAAATTGATCATCGTGGCATCAGTCAACGTTATATGATTTAGGAAAATAACAATTAGATTTAGCAATAAATTTTGGAGTCTAACTATAATTCTACCTCAGACTATACTCAGGCACCAAATACACTTCCCAAAGCTAAGTAAGCACACATAAGACCACCATCAGGTAGAGTAAGAATCTAACTTGATCCGAACTCATCAGAGTTTTATAATAATAGCACTAATAAAAGAGAAAGCAGACAGATGGTTTAGATTGTTACTAAATAGAATTCAAAAGGGAAAAATGAATAAATAGACCTTACAGACTCTAAATACAATCCATCAACTGCCATTTAGACTACATCCTTGTCCCTTTAAAATTCTTAAAATATCAATTAGACAGCAAAATCATTGCTTTAAGTTTAACCAAGATACTAGGAGGATATTACTTTAAATAATACTCTACATTAAATTAGCAAAACAACTCAGAATAAAGATCCAAACATATAAAAATCTCATAATAACAATCAAACTGTAAGTAATATCTACAAAAACAGCTACTCAAACCTTGATAAATAAATCAACTTAAAGCCAATAAACACTTTTGAGAGATTTCTGAAAAATCTTACAGCAGGAGGGGTGACTGCAGGAAACTCTTAAATGATATTGAGTAAAGATTCTTCAAATTCAGCATAGGCACTTAATCACTTACCGCAAGGAAGAACTAGCTTCTAGTATGATGCAGATATGAATATAAAATCAATAAATTCAAGCGGAGTAATTTTAGGTTAGAGTAATGGGTAAGCAGATAATAATAATTATAATGCAATGAGAGGAAACCTTTACAAACCTAGAATCTAAATAAGTGCGGACAGAAAGAGGACTTAAAGCTAAAATAGAGCTAACTCTGCGAAGGTAGCTCAAAATTAAAATATACCTTAAAGAACAACGTTATAAAAGGAGGATAACTACTAAAATAATACAGTACTCTAGACCAATAGCAATAATTATCGGAACCTCACTAAAAATGGTAAGCATTATTCAATTAAAGTTACTTATAGATGGTTCTTTGCATATTCCGTAAAAGTAAATTGTTTTGTCAAAGTAAGATTAGTAATGGTAAGCATCATAAAAGAGTTACAATCCAAGACTACAGTATCCTCATTACAAATACAGCAGTTTTTCCTAAAACCAAGATGATAATCAAGGAGGAAATTCGAACAATCATAATCATCACCATCCAGTGCATTTCCATACATAGACTTAAGGACATTCCTCATCCATATCGTAAACTCTCGCAAATACTAAGCTATAAGCTAATCTAAGTGAGTAATACCTGTAAAGTATAGGCTAATCTGGCATTGGAAGCGGAATAACTTTAACTGGATAATCAATTGGCATATCTAAGCAATTCTAATCAAAATAGTAATGATTTCAAAGAACTTTAGATAGATATAAATATGATATCTATGAGAATGAGCTTTAAACTCTCAAATGAGTTAGACTTCATTTATGAATAGAAATATCGAATGAATAATTGCATGCAATTTGATACATATAGAACTATGAATATTTCAGAATATAAAGCTATCAATATACATATAATTGCGCTATTATTGATTTGTTGCATTTACTTTTTATACCTTTTTCTAACAGTATATTTTTTCACTTAGGGGTTTTGGGGTTTTGGGGTTTTGGGG